CACAATTTTTATAGTGCCCACATCTGACAGGAGACGCCCTCTGCAGGTAGATGGGCAGCCCAAAGCTTCCTCATGCACTACCACTGCTGAACTAAGATTTTCTCATTAAAAGGGAATAGACTGAAGAGATAAACCAAGGCTCAGAGTAAAATAACCCAGCTAACAGGCAAATGATCCCCTTCGGTAGGAGTTTATAAACAGAGTTATTTAACATTCCTACCTTTTGTTTTTCTCCCCATGCAAATGATTCAAGCGTAACCTGAAAGCGCGTGACCATCATTTGTCGCCGACGCCGATAGTCCTCGGACAGAATTTCATTCATTTTTTTCACTTGAAGCTGAGAAACAGGAAGAGGCAAAGATGTAAATGCCACATTAGAGTCACGTCTAAAGTCTTGTGGGCTGAAAACAGGCCTGGCAGCTTACCCACTGCTCTGAGCTGAGGCTGGTGCTGAGAAGAGGTTTGGTCATGTCTCCACTTGGTAGGCGAGAAAGCCTCTCATTCACCTGCATTAAAGCAAATGTTTGTAAACTCCTCTTTCAGTGCTTCTCAGTCTGTATTCGCAATTTATTCATGGCTCAATCTCTGTTATTTCAAGCTTACCTCGTTCAAAACGTCCTCAAACCGAGAGGAGGCGTCCATGTTGAGAGCACGCAGAAGTAAAATCCATTCTGCTTGCATCTCTGCCTTCCTCCTGTTTTCACCCGAACCGTCATCGCCTTCGTTTTCCTCACAAAAGTCATGGCTCAGATCTTCAACTCGCTGCTCTTTTTCAGAGTCCGCTTCTGTCGCCCGCTCGTCAGGATGTGACTCTTTGTACTTGATAATGCGAACTGCTTGCAATTCTGATACAAGGAACTCTGCAAGATGTGCAAAAGAGCACTAAATCCACGAGCACTGCAATCATCTGTTCTTACTACAACAGTATCCACCACAGTCCTGTTTCTCACCAGCGACTTTGTTGAGAGTGGACGGGTCCAACACCTCGGAGGTCAGCACAGCGAGGGGAGAGGATATGTTTGATAGTACATTTTTCAGCTCTCCCGCCAGCAGCACATCACCTGACCCTCCTGAGTCTAAAAAAGGACAACTAAGCCAGTTTATTTAACACATTTCACTGCAAGTTGAGTCAGAAAGATCTGATTTTTTTTCATGGCTTATATTTGTAACATAGTAACCATCAGTTTGTTTACCAAAGCATGTTTTGGTTGTAGTTATATAATGCATATAAATTACAGCTAATGTGAAGTGCATCTCAGTAGTTTCATATTAAATTAACTGCGGGTAAAATTATGAAAATGGTGTCACTATCCAAATGTTTCCAAATCCAATTCTACTCTACATGTGAAGATGTTTTGCTTTTGTAGAGCATCTGTCAACTACGATATATATGTAAAAATATCCTGTTATTTTTATTTATTAAAGGCATCTAAATTGGCTGTTCTGTAACTGGTTTGGTGAATTAATGTGGATGTTTTCAGAAAGGACTTGCATTTTGTTTTACATTACATAAAAAGTTAGGTCGATTCTTAAGCAGTTGCTTTGCTGGGTCGGCCCACTTGAGACCACAGTGACCCTTCTGCGCGAGATAGTAAAAAATCCACAATCCTGAGATGGTTTTCCTCCTTCCTTGGGAGAATATGTGCTGTATTAAAGGCAATGGTTAAACATAAAAAAGCCTCTCTCAAAGATTTATGAATGAAAATCTCAGGCCTGAGCCTCACCTCGTAGCTCCGGGCAGAGAGTCCTGAGCTCTGCACACAGCCAGCTGAGCAGCGGACAGGGAAGCTCGTCACATCTGCACCGGGAGAGGCAGCGGCTGCCCGGGTACCTAACCAGGAAGTAAGTGGAGGCGACAGGTGAGATTACCTATTCACCTGTCAGGCGTATCGGCAAGCGTCATTACACGTCAAAAGCCCAGAAAGCAGGCAGAGAATTAAGGTTTCTCTTCTCAAATTAAAGTTTCGTAACGACGAAAATCAAACATGTTAATCACCCCAGAGCTTTAATGGCTGAAACTGTCCCCGCGCTCCTCTCCATGAAGACAGGCGTGCACGGCTTGTTCTTTACTCTGCGAAGTTCAAGTGTGTTTACAAGGGGTGCTTCCTCCTTTAACATCCAGGACGCTCACCGCCCCCTGCTGGATGGAGTGCGCACAACAACTTCATAAATAACCAAGTCATTCACTAGATAGGGAATTAATAAACAAAGGATAAATTACAGAATCTCTAACGATATTACAAAATATGAACACAAAAGTACAAGATTGTGGGGCAAGTGTATGAAAAATTATAAAAGTTACCAGTATTATTTGCCCCGATTTTAAAAAAGAAAATAAGTAATCGTGTTTTTTTAAACAACAACAACATAATTATTTGAAAATATATTAAAAGCAAAGCAGAACAGGAAAACATTACATTTTGTATGAATAGGTTTAGGTTATTTTTCTGTTACAGAATTAGTGAATAAAGTAGTACATTTTCAAAGGTTTCAAACTATTCGTGTAATATTTACTTTCCCTCAACTTTCCACTTTATGCATCTCTATTTGACAGCATCTTTTTAAAACTTTCTCCCGTGATATAATGAAAAAAGTTTCACTCTGCCCCCACACATCACACCTTTCTCACTTCTTGAGGGGAACAAATTGTCCTATAAGGACGGAATACGTGTTTGTTTGCCCGTTAGGGGTCACCAGAGGTCTAGTATAGCCTGCTGTGTTAACCAAAGATAAATCTGCTGGCATTAAGTACCGTGAAAGGTGGGATGCAACTAAACAGATATTAGATACGTGATATGTGATGTTTGTGTAATATATGTATGTATTGTTTTCTGCTACTCAAATTTAACTTTAAATCAGATCTCAGTTGTCATGTTAGAATACAGATGTTTGAAACGTGAACACAGCTCCATTCATTAGAATGTATTAACATCAGCTTCCATCCTCTGCTCTGGGGTGAATATTATGAGCAAATTAACTAGTTTAATTAATTAATGTCTGTTATCTTGTCAAATTATCATTATGTACAGTGGCTGAACATGAACTCAACTAAGAATATCACAGTCATGTCTCCTGTTCAGCTGTTTGATACACCATTTACGCTGAACACTATTTACTCCTCTCAGCACTATCCTCCGTCTTGCTGATGCAGCTGATGTTTGCTGCAGTGTTATATGCAGTATCCCTGTTGTCAGGGATTTTTTTTGATTTAAAACATCAGTGAGAGTTTTATGGTGGATGGTTCTGCTTGTGTAGCTTGAACTCAATAGGCAGCAAATGTTAGATGAGAAAATCTTGAAGTAAAGGGTGATGCTCCTCTGTGGCCCGAGTCATCTTTTCAGTAATAGATTTTATAAGCAAGTTTGGCTTTCATTGAACAAATGCAAACATGTTTCCTCTTCTCATGTCTGACTCTGTGCACACACTCTTAAACACAAGTGCTTCAAGGTCTGAGAGTGCTGTTCAGCACACGTGTCCCTTGTTGGACTTCACTGCAGGAGGTATGTGAGCCTCCTCGTCACACTTACGCCACATCAGCTGCCCCCAAACTAACAGGAACAATGGAAACAATGGCAGCGAGGCGTGTAGGGCCCTGATGTACAGTGCGTCTGCTTTTGCCGCCATATGTACAGAAGCTGCGGCTTCCCTGACTACAAAAGCCTTGCCATGCGTCAGGATGCTTTGTCTTTTATTCCCCTGACACTGCCCCGTGCTCCATGAAACCTTGTGGAGGCTGACCCTTGACCCCTGGAAAGCGTCTACACAATACAGGCAGAAACTCCCTTTGTTTATAAGGCTAACTTGTTAACCACTTGCTGCCTGATTAAAAACAGAGTTCCACCTGATTTCACGAAATACTGACTTGCATACTTAAAAAAATGAAGATATAACCCATTTCCAAAAACTTTATATTAACAAATTATAAATAACTGAGAAGATTAAATTAAAAGAAATTGGTAGTAATAAAAAAAAAATCTCCATGTGTAAATATGTGTACTTAACGTGGATGCATGGAAAAACAATGCAGTCCTGTTCATGTGAACAAGTGCAAAATAAACATGCAGATGTATAATCTTACATTTTTCAAGCTGTATGCATACTACACCCGAACAGGAGCATGTAGAAGCTCATTTTTCCCAAAAAAGAAAAGAAAAACCTTAATAAACATATTCAGCATGTAGAGAAAAAGGTGTGACTTGTGTAAATGGATAAATGAGACATAGAGAGAGAGATACATGTAGCTTTGAGTAAAATAGAAAAACAGGATATAAGAACCAGTCTATCTACAATTTAACGCTTTATTACAGTTCAAAGTGCTTCAAAAGTGATAAACTGATAATAATAAAAAACCCAAATTGAATGAAATTAAACCATAACAAATAAATTACATTTAAAATGGCCTGTAAATACCATAAAATTACATCAAATTAAGAATAATAAATACTTTTATCAAAGTATGAAAACACATTTTTTTTAAAAAGCAGAAACACTGGTTTTTGAAGTTTACTGGTATCACGTGTGCATTTCGTGATGCTGCAATGGGACGTCATCTGTTGTTTGACTAATGTCCTCCACGGTGAATGATTATAATAAACAATATGCTGCAGTCCGGTAAAACTTCAAGAAAAACAGTTCCCACTGTTTTACAGCACCATGCAGGTGCTTGTGTGTGCCTTTCCATTTCATCACCACACTCTGAGCCCTGCGGCAGGGCAGGTATTGATGTGGTTGCCGAGCTGGGTGGTGACAATTGCTCAGGTGACTGAAACCAACACCCCACGGAGACAAACCGCCATCTGCGGGTGACAGAGGGAGGGAGCAGCCTGCTTTCACCAGACAGCTCCAACCTTCGGCTCGACTTCACTTACATTTACACTCTTCTCGACTCAGCAGCTACACGCAGGTGTCATGAGTGGGCATCCACAGATGCGCGTTTATGGCACCGTTCCCGCGTGTTTTCTTTATATAAGACGCTATAATAAGGTGTTATTGGATTAGCTATGGATCGACTCGATGACTGGAGCTTCAAGTCCAAGAAAATAATGGACCTAGAGGAGGATTTCTTTTTCCACTATGGAGCGGAGGAAATGACAGATTATCAGGACCCCAGTGAACTTCTGGCTGCTTTAAAACAAAAGGAGGAAGAGGTTATTTTGGCAGCCCAGCTGGGAAACGCATTGCTCCTTGAAAACCGCCAGCTTAAGGAGCAGAGCGAAAAACTTCATGAGCAATACGCAGAGAAGCTGGAGGTAAGGAGAATCCGATTCCCTACAGGTGAACTAATAATCTAGTAGGTTTTGTAATAATCTAAAACATTCTGTGAAATGTTCGGGTTGAAGTGTTTAGAATTACGTCATGGTTGTTGCTGTTTGAAGTGGGCGGGTAAGAAGTTTTCCCGATGTCCAAAGATTGTATGCTGTTGTTTCTCTCCCAGCTTTACGCACGAAAACGCGTAAAATTCTTTCTAACTCTTAAGGTGACCAACTTAAATATTCAACATTAATGACAGAGTCACCTGAGTCATTTATTGGGACCTCCGACCGCACTATATTAACGTGTTCTCAATATTTTGGCCATCCCATGAAAAGACATTTACAATTGTAAATGGAAAAAGCAGCATAAAAAGGCACTGCTAAGGTGTTCCTACTAAACTGGTTGGTTTACAAAATAATGAATGCAATATATTCTTCGTTAAATAAGCTGTAACTGTATAAAGAAACTCTAATGTAAGCAGGCAGAAATGCTAGTGCGTTGCTAAACTTTACTAACTCTCTCTGAAGCGATCTTTTGTGTTCTCCCAGCGACTGTAAAAGTATTTCTATCTTAGCAGACCTGTCAGTACTGAAATTCCTTCTAGGTAGTCTTGCTGCATACTTGTGAGACACTTCAACTCCTCACGAGATCTCAGCAGTCAGACAGAAAATGTAGTAATAAAAGCGAACCGGTGGCATCCACGTGTTTGTCTCAGTCGACTACACCAGCACCAAATCATGTTGAGAGGCTGTGATATGAAAATAATGACCTCATTGCTTTCCCCGGGTGATGCTGATGTCTCTATCAGATGCTCGCATCAAGTCAGGTATGGTAGTCACTTAAATCACACCAAGGACAAGACAATGGTGCGCTAATGTGTCTAAATTGATGTAAACGTGCTGCGTGAACTTTTCTGATTGAATTTGCCAGAGAGGTGTGGTAAATGTCTGGAACAGTCATTTTTTGGGGGGGATTTTTTAGCCCTTATTGTCTTAAGAAAGTTGAGAGAAGGCAGGAAAGTTTGAAAGAGAGAGAATAGGGGAAGATTCAGACTCAGTCCTCTTTATTTACCTTACACCTTATGGGTCACCTGCACAACCCATTGAGCTAAAATAGTGCTGGATCAATCAGTTTTCATGGCAAGTTAATGCTTGGATGAGTTTTCTGTTGACTGACAAACTGACTGATCTTTTAAGCTCTAAAGGAATGGATGAAAGCAGAGTGGATGTTTTCCTCTTCTAGCTGTAATGATATCAGCTACCCTATTGTTATGGATTCAAATTACAGCTGTTGGACATTTCCTGTTATCCGGCAGAGCACTAAATGAGGTTGACAGGTGCTTGTGCTCACTCAAATGCCTTCCAACAACACTCTCACGATGCCAAACAGCTTCATTTGCTGCAGTCGTAGCTAGACAACTGAAACGTATTTACTGCTTTATATTTTAAAATCTTTGTTTTGCCACACCCACCCTTAAGATCACCTGTTAAGGCATTTATCTTTTCCACCTCCGATAGGATCTGGAGCAGGGAAAACATGAGGTGCGACTGAAGCTGGAGCGCCACCAGTCCCAGTGGGAGAGCCAGATGGGAGACCTGGAGCGGGATGCGAGGGAGCTGAGCGCCCAGGTGGAGCAGCTTACACGGTCGCTCAGCGAGGCTGAGAGGGACAAGAGTCGAACGCAGCTGGAGCACAACGAGAACACTCAGCGGCTCCAGGAGGAGCTCAAAGCTGTGAGTCCCACACCTGGATGGGTAGATTCATGTTTTTCATCTTTGCTCAAAAAGTAACCGAGCCTCAGTGAAACAAACACCAGCAGTAGGTTCAAAGCTTCAGTTTCACTAGAAAGTCACTCAATCCACCCACTGAAACTCGGTGTTCCCGTGTGAACTACTCCGGTATCAGCCTGACTGTATTTGATCTAAAGCAATGCCACACTCTGAGGATATTTGAAGGCTCATAGCAAGGTCACAGCTAAAATACTTCTACTACAAATAAGTGTTTTGATAAATGAGAAAGAGAGCAATAGAGCTAGAGTCAGCTGGGAGCTGCATATCAAAACCTGAGCAGTTTCCCTCAGGCAAATCAGCAATGTCAAGTGCAGAGCAGGAGGGAAACGACATGTAAACAAGAGGGGGAGGGAAACTTCAAGCATGACTTAATTTTAAATCCAAGAGAGAGGGAGGGAAACTTGGAAAATACCTGGAAGAAGCTTTATTCAAATTCTAGTTCAGGCAAATGAATTCAACTCATTGCCGTATAATTATTTTAGCCACTTTTTTTATGTCATTGTACCTGTGAAATGTAATAGAAAAATGTCCTAAATAATCTATTAAACATATTATAGGAGCTTTTATCAGAACATTATAATCTGTTACGTTGGTTTATTCAGTAACACAAAGTTAACCTTTAACTAGCTTGACATCATAAGGACGCTGACAACATGCCGCTGACTCACGTCTTCAGGAGTTCATGAGTGTTGAAGTAAATTATTTATGATCATAAGTATCTGATCAGAAATGCAGTACACTGTACACAGAGCAGGCTGGTGACAGCTTCTTATCAGTGGAGCTGACTGGATCACACAGCTGGAGCAAACTTGAGTATTTTTCCAGGCTGAGAAAGTGAGGATTGTTTTGCTCAGCGTTGCTGTTGTGACGTGCTGCGTTCCACACGACAAACCGCTGCTCACGCAGAATGAACGGCAGACACCAGCTTGTAAGGAGTCAAGGTCCACGAAATAAGGAACTGTGAGCTTCCTTCCCCCTCTGTGGCTATACTGAAGGACTTGGTGTGTGGAAATCAGACTCCCTAGAAGTTCAGGAAAATGCCAATTTAGATAAAAGCTTTTATCTCTCTGTTTGAGCTGTTTTAGGGGAGAGGGAGGTGGAGGAAATACTTTATTGGGCTGCCCAGTGTTAGCCAAATGTAACTCTGGTCTGTGTAGTTGTAAAGCTGAGAGAAGAGACTGAATCTTAAGACGCTCCATGTCTGACAAGTCTTTGCCTGATGTGGTGAAAGATACTGCTGCTTCTGTCGGACAGCTGTCTGGTGGGGTGAGTTGTGCTGTAATTCATTGAGTTTTTGTTTCTCACAGTTTTGACTGGAAGAGCTCGGTTTATTCATGGTGTCATGTTCAGGCTTCTGTAAGCTATACAGTAGGTTTCTTCTTTTAACTTAAAAAGAAAAACAAACAACAAAACTCAAGGATACTTAGGAAACTTGAATATGTCAATGAGCTAATCAATTGTAGCTGCTGTATTCAGTTTATATAGTTAATGTGTAATAGACAGAATTGCATTAAATTAATCAATCCCCAAGTTGGAGTATAAGAAGCCCTGCGGTACATGGGTAGATTAGCTGAACTAATCTTCAAAAAACAGAAATTACATTTTAATTTAAAAGCCAAATGGACCTGAGCTGGTTTGAGAAGAAAAGTTAACCATTAACATTGAGTAGAAATAGATAAAAAATGTTATAAAGTCATAAGAAATTGGGGGGGGGGGTACAACCACCACTAGGGAAAATATGTATTCCCAGACTGGTTGAAAGTGGTTCTTGGAGATTCTTGGTTCTCACTGGGTGAAACTGTTGCAAAGCAAGTGTTGCACCAGAACCTCTTAGTAAGGGCTTTGTTTGCTAGCAGATTAACACAAGTGCCTGTCGTTTTTATTTTTTGGTTTTATGCTGGTCTCCAAGTACTTGTTAACTAGCCAAGTGTTTGTATAACCTGAAAAAGTGTGATGTAAACCAGAAATGGAGGAGATTCACATTCAAAGTAGAAGTTGCGGTACTGCAGTACTGCAGCCAACATGTTACAAAAATCGCTTTTCAGTGTTAGTGTAACTGACATAGCTGGCAACTGTTTGTAGACAAGTCCGTCACTTCTATTCAAATTTCCACAGCAATATGCTAGCAATCAAAGTAATCACAAGGAGGCTTTTTGCCAACCAACTGGGGAAAACATGTTTGTCTAGTGACAGGTGCTTGCCAGAGGTTCACTAATTGGTCAGGAGACCTGTGTGACCTGGGGCAGTTGACAGCCATTAACTTCTAGCAATCACTTGCAACTGATTGGGGAATACTCATGTTTCCCTAATGACTGTTGGTCAACCATATTTGCAGAGCAGTCTCATTCACAGTCACCATGATTGTCACACATCCAGAATGGCCTACTCAGCTGAAAGTTAAGATAAATTATTTAAGTTGTTAATCAAAAGCATATTTATACAATTAAAATGGTTTGTTCTAATTGTAGATAAACATTTAAAATGGTAACTTAGGAGTGTAGAGAAAGAAATGTATATGTTTAATTTTTGTATGAAACTATAAGCTAAAAAGCCCCTGAAATGAATTAAATTGTTAGCTAAAAATGAAAAAATGTCGAAGTTAAAAATTGTTAGCCATGTGGCTAGCATTTCTCAAAGTATAGATAAATAAAATTGTTATCAAAAGCATGGGTAAGCATTTGAAGTGAGTAGCTAAAAGTGTAGAGAAACAGTTAACTGATTAGTCAGGAGTGTAGTTTTTTTTAAATTACTTATTAGCTTAAAGTATAAAGAATTAAATTTATTAGCCACGTTGCTGGTAGTCATTGAAAAATATAGATAAAGAATATAAACTCTTAGCTAAAACTCCTTATAAACCGTTAAAAAAGTAAGCGGAAAAAATGATGTTTAAAAGACAGATGTATTCATGAATAAAAATCTAGCTGAAAGTAAAAGCTAAAAACTTTCCGTTAAAACTAGCTAAAACGTAAAAATATAGATAAACATTTGCAAATGGAGTTATCAGCTCTCTGAAAATGTGATGAAAAAACGATTTTGCTAAATTGTTAGATAAAACCTAAAAATGTATATAAATAGTTAAAATCATTAGCTGTATAGCTAGCAGCCATCAAAAAGCAAGTTATGGACTAAAAGCTAATACCTAGATAACCAGTTTAGGTGCTTCACTAATCATAACAGATAAATGGTAAGATGAAGCGAAAGTTTCTCACAGATTAAAACATAATCTGCTAATTATGAAACAGTAAGTAGACCATGACAGGAAGATATAAACTGAAACCAGAGAGAAAAAGAATTTTCCAACAACATGAAAAGATTTGCTGTGAACCTCTGTCCTGGTGCACATGAGGAAGCAGCTGCATTAAAAACAATACTGATGCGTGCCAAATTGTCACACAGTGCAGACTGTTAAAACAGGAGCTCCGGAGCAGAAGCAAAGTGTTGAAAATCTCAGGGAGAGGTGACTGATGTCAGGGTGTTTTCTTACAAATCATTGCTGCAACTGTAAACCAGGCTGAAAAGACTTTGGTCAAACATGAATCACTCTCTATGTTCGTTTGTTAATTTGTCACTGGAGTTTCCCGGCAGTCTCATACAAGGAAAACCACAGTTTACCGTCTGAAGAAAAACATTGCATATAGTGAAAGTAAAAACATTTTGTGTTTGTTTTGTTTTGCGGATTTTGGCTGAAGTCTTGTGCAACATTTTTAGTGCATTAGAAAACTGAATATAAACACATCTACTAGATAAGAAATACCAGACTGGAATGGGAGTATGATTACTGGATGATGAGCTGGAAATGCTGATAGTTTCCTGCATGTTTTCATGCGTCATTCATTTCAATTGTTTTTAAAAAACCAAACAACAAAACTCGGTAAGTTTGGGACTTTGCTATGAGCTTATTTCAGGTAGACCTGACTTACTGTTGGGGATATTATGAGCTGACACTGGTCAATAATAGACAGATTGTACACAACCAGATTGTACTGGTTGTGGGATTTATTTGCCTCATGGCTGGTAATAGCCCAAGGCAAATAGGATGACTTACTGATGCCAGCGAGGAGTGTTTGTGTATTTATATAATTGTTATGGATATACACTTTTTAAAATACTTTTTAACATATTATTATTTAAAGAGGGTTTCTGTTCATTTCACTTTAGTTTTTATTGTTTGGTTTCACTTAAGTTTCAATATAATATAACCTTTTAGATATAACTCAAATGTACTGTGTGTGCACACATACAGAATATTGAATAACTTGTATCCAAAAAGAGTTAAGACCATTGCAGACAGGTGTTTCTAATTTTTTGGTCACTCTGTTTATATCTTGTTTTCTGTCAGGTTAACCGATGCAGATCACATTACCCTTTTCACTTCCTGCTTCCTACTCAGGGTCACATATCACTCACACCGGTAGCATTTTATTGGGCAGCTGTGACAAATCCCTCACTGTGTACATTGTTTAAGACAAGCCCCCGTAACCTCGGTCAGCATCACCAAGCTCACAGACAAAAAAAGGAAAACACAATATACATTACAGAGAGATATAAATCTTTCATTTTGTTCTTTGATGTTGCACCAACGTTCCTTTATCCCAGGGGAAAGCCATCTTTTCTCTGTGCCCCCCAAGGGGCTTGGTTATAGCTGTGGAAGCCAGCTGTTGGATACTTCAGCGTGTGGACTCATGTAGGCGTGGAGGAGGGGGGCGTGGAGTGTCCTCCGTCTCCTCCTCGTTTTGGTGGATCTCAGTGAGTCGGTGCCTCTATTGTGGAAGAGGCCCATACTGAAATGTTCATTTTTAAACCCAGACTTCTTCTCTTCTCACTGTGTCTGCTTGCTTTTTGTTTATATCCTTTATTCACTCACACAGACACACGCTTCCCTCTACTTATGTCCCACAAACCTGCCTCACATCCTCCATACTTTCAAGCTCTTCCCTCCAGCTTTTACTCTGGTGATGTCCGAGTTCACCATTGTTGTTTAATGTGGCATGATGATGTCACCACCAAGATCAGGATGCCCTCTGCTCCATCTGCCGTAGAGGCCGGCCTTTCATTTTGTATTATGTGGCATTGATTGGACCTGACAGGGCCCCGCCGAACTGCTGAGTAAGGGGAAATGAGGGTCCCAGTCCAGGACAAGGGAGGGCAGAAGGGGTGGCCTTTCACAGGGCCTGTAGACACAGCAGCTTCCCAAATTTTTAATGTTGCCCAATCTTTTGTGTTTGAATCAGCTTTCAAGTTTTCCAATATTCAGTGTTTTATGGCTAAAGCTGAAAATGGGGAAAAATGAATGAATCACTCGTGCTGTTAGCTTTTACATCTGTCCTGTTTTTGACCCAGGTTTTGGAAGCACTGCAGGCTATCAGGAAAACCAATAGCCAACCACATTTAAATTTAGTCAACTAATCCCCAGCTTCTTCTCATCTCAGCTTTAGCCAAGACTTTTATTTTCTTAAAGCTCAGGCTACAGGCAGGCTTCATTTTGGATTTTCACTTTAACTGATACGCGTGTGTGACGCCGGTCTCTGGCTGAGATCTTTTTAACCCTCTCCATATTTCTCATTTCATTTGCTCCCTTTGTGACTCTCCTGTGTTCGTGTTCTCTTTCTTCTGTGCACGTGTAGGCGATGGAGGTGGAGAGAGCCATGTCCACTGAGCTGCAGGCTCTGAAACAGGAGCTGCAGCAAAAAGGAAGTCACAACAGGCAGCAGGACGAGGAGCTGATGAGTGCCATGAGAGAGCAGGCAAGTACTCTAATGCACATGTGCGGCCGTTACTGTGACTTTACAGAGGTGTAGCTTCATATTTATGCTAAAATATGGTCTTCTTCTTGTAGCATATCATATTTTTGTATCAATTTCTTCTCAAATGCCTTTCTAATAATTACTTGGCATCAGTGAAGCGAGTAGTAAATGAACTTCTATCTCTTCATGACTGGCCCATACCTGCTGGTCATGTTTAGACCTACATGGTTCTTAAAATAATGTCTTCTAAGTAATGTTTTAAGCAAAGTAAAATGGCAAATAAACAGTCTGTCTAAAAAGGGATCTTTTCTAATACATAATGCGTTTTATTTCATGCAATGCATGTGGTGGTTACATAAAACAGAAGAATAATGAAAAAGTCCTGGACAACCAGCAGCAGAAACTGGGAAAAAAGTACTAAAACAACACTTTATTTTGTACCAACGGTTTGATTAAAGGTTTTTTAAAAGGAATATCTGTTTTGAAATGACTTTTGAAATTGTGACGAGCAAGTTCACCTTCTTTTTTGGATGTACTCCTGAATAGGATAAATACAGTCAGACAGATTCTCGGTAAATCATCCTTTTCTCGATAAATTGTTCCTTTCCAAAAATGAGAAAGCGGATAGCCTTCCAAGTAAAAGTAGAAAGGTTCAAATATCAGCTTCATTCCTCCTGTTAGTGGATTGTTTTGTTGCGATGCAAGGGAGTGGTGTGAGTTAGTGAGAATTTTCCTCCCTGAGGGGAAGAAATAACTTTGTTATCTGTATTTCTGCTTGTTTTTCCAGGTGTTGCGTCTCTCACAGAAGGAACAGGTGCTGGAGCAACGATTGGAGAGCGTTTGTCAAGAAAACGAAGAACTGAGGGCGAGTCTGGCCTCTTTGGACGCACGCTTGGCTCTGCACGACCAACTCAACGAGCAGCACAGCCAGCAGGTACAAACATGAATACAGTACAGCGCAGGCAAGACTGTCATTCGATCTCCATAGTACATAAGCAATCTGATTAGAGCTCATTGTGGCAGCAAAACCGCATCAAGTGGTTAGTGCGTGACTAAAAGAACCACAATGACAAAGATTTTCTGCTTCCTCTCTGCCAGCCTGGGTTTCGGTGGGATTGTGGAAAGTACCACTAAACAATCACCTCACTGCCGTCACTGTATCTCTGACCCGCAACTCTGGATTCCACTCGTGTTCGTTTAGTTTCATGTTTGGCTTTAGGCTGGAATCTGGCATGTCAGGATTTCTTTCTCTTGTTGGTACAGTCTGCTTACACGAGTCTCCTATTACAGCTCCTTCCAGAGCTCATTTGACTCTTAGGCTAAAAGCGGGGATCTGTGTAATCTAGCAGGATTCATGATGTGATTTTTATCGTAGCTTCTTCATCTGTCGGACGTGTTATCCTTGTCACATTTCTGTTTTCGTTCACGTGTGCATGTGCCTCTCGCTCTCTGTGCTTCTCAGCTTGCCGAGGCGCGGCAAGAGGTGGAGGCTGCACGGGGTCATTCACAGCAGCTGCAGGCCCAGGTGGAGGAGCTTCAGGAGGAGGTGTCCCTGCAGGAAGCCAGGAGCTACGGCAACACTTCCCTGCTGTCTGAGCTGGAAAGTAGTCTGGAGATAACAGGCCTCGGAGTCAGCAAAGAAGAGGTAGGTTTACTGATTAATACAGTCAAAGCATATTGTTTTATAAAAAAACATCCAAAACATGCCTCATGTGGCTGATTGAAGTTTTTCAATTTAATTTAAAAATATAAAGTTCACTGTGAATAAGTGTAAAGCTAATGGTAAGATGTCTCGTGACCTTATACATAAACATCACTCCACTTAGAAGACAGAGTGATGAGGGAGAAAGGAATGCAGGGGGGCGCATGTAGATGCACAACATCATTGTAATCAAGTGCAGGTGATCTTAAAACTAGGAGAGAGACATGACAATTTTACTGTCTGTGTTAGCCTCACATAAACAATCCTGCTCCTTTAATACTTATTTGAGCACCGATTATCTGTCAGTCCACAGCTTTGAAGAGTTAACGTCTTAAATTTTCTCCTGTTTGAATGATGATTGGTAGAAACTGCAGTCCCAAACTGTTCTCAAGTTTACTAATTTGTGCCTCTGAAGCAGTAAGAATAATTTATAATTTATTCTTCTGTATTTGTATTGTTGGTATTTTAGTATCTCTGGGTGCAATAAGCATGCCTTTTCTTCAACGTTGATTTTTTGCAACATTGTGATGTGTTATACTGTATCAGTGTTATGATCTAAAATTATACGTACTGTAAAGCACAAACACACAAAAAAGTACTAGAAAAAAAATGTAAAATTACTCTTATAGCACTAATGTCGAGTCACTGCAAGACAAAATTGGAAAAATAGCCAAACAGCTCTGTGTAGGAACAGCTGCACACTATCTCCATACTGTGGTTGGATTTTGCTGCAGTGGGCCCGCAATGATTCACAGGTCACATGCGTTTTGAGGGGAAACTGTGTTCCTGTGATGACTGGAAATGAAATGATCAAGTCGTATTTCTTGAGAATGAGATCGCACATTTATAGCACCAGAGATGCATCATTTATACTCTGAATTTTGGAAAGCGTGGTAGCGGTCTTTACAGAGAGGAACGCCATGCAGGAACATGTTGTGCGAGTTCTTGGTGAGAGCGTGTTTGCTGTCAGGACACATTTTGTGAGGAGAAGGCGTGAAGTTCCTGATTGTACAGAGTGAAGTCCTGGACGAGGACTTGTGCAGAAGTCCCGTGTTGGAGTTGTGTCTGGGAGAGAGCAGAAAACGTCTTCTCACCGTTCGTGTGTCGGCTGTTATTGTTGTGTTGCAGCAGGAAAAAGTAATGTGCTGCTGCACTCGTGAGTCACATTTCCTGTTTGTCATTACCACATTGTCGGAGACTTTCCACATTGTTGTCACATGTGAGGTATGTGATGGCAATACCTCACTAAAACATAATGCTCATTATTTTTGTGGCAGCCACAATTACTGTTCAATTTTTAAGCATTTTTTTACTGTCTCTTAAATATAGAACTTTTTTTTCAGGGGTTTTAAAACTTATGCAAACAACTGTGGCTGTTTATCACCTGAAACTGTTCCTGTTTAGTTAATTTTGTTATGATCAGATAAGCACTGTCACGTGATACACATGACTCAGGTAAGTTAAATATGCCCATGAGGTAATGCTGACTCCTCCAGTCGTATAAATACATGATGTCATTCAAGACATGTGAGAAGAAGATGGGGAATGCTCGCAGGAACAGAGAAGAAGAAATAACTTGTATAACACACAGAAATTCCTTTTAATATGCTGTTAGGTCCAAAGCAGTAGGGTGAATGTGAAATGTAAAGCATACTGTAGAAGCAACCAAGAGTTTCTCAAGGCAAAGAAATGGGATATACTTCAATGGCCAGTCGCCTGATCTCCAGGCAGTCAGACTTCCCTGACTGCAAAGGATTTTATAAAAAAGTCTGTAATTCCTAAGCAGTTAATTCAGTTAATTGAAAGTCTGCTTTTCAATCACATCTTGATTGCTTAATTTAAAATCCATTGTGATGGTGTGGTAAGGCAAAGAGTGTATGGACCTAACTGTAGGTCAGAATTCGAGCAGCATCCTCCAAGCTGTGTAACTTTTGTTGCACGTTTAATATTTTGGTTCATGTGTTAATGCGGCTGACACTATTTTGAAAGTCACAGCAAGCACATATCAACACGTTTCTTCCTTTTTTCATAGTTAACGCAAGAAATGGGGTTCATCCTTCAGTTACTCCTCCCGCTGACCCAGGAGCTGAACGGCTCAGAACAGTCAGAGGTCGCCGATCAGCAGGAAGACCTGAAGGCCATGTTGCATCGGCTGAAGGGCGTGGCTCAAACTCTTTCACAGGCATCCAGGCCACAGGTGAGCTGCACACACACGAACAGCAAATGGGGCAGGGAGAGGAAATGCGAACAAAAGGCTGACCTTGTTGTTTGAAACATGAGAAGGACGGGAATAGTACACTGTAGGTTTTGTCATGTCCTCGAATCATAAAGAAATGTACACAAAACAATCTGAAGTTCTGACGTCTAAGAAACGCAGGGCTGTACCAACACGGCAGAGCGCATTTATTGCTTTTCAAACACACAACTTACAGGTGAGAGATGCGACGTTTAACACTCCAACAGTGCATCTCTTTCTGTTGTACGATGAGAGACAATTGTACTGAAAGCAGAGTTATTTCCTTACTTTGTTTTTTCTTTGCTAGAGGTTGGACGCAGATGCAGGAAAAGCATAAATCATAGATCCAGAAAGCAGCCTGCTCACATACTATAGCAGTCCAACCTATCTACCCCCTAGTGGCTGTTTGAGGCACCACAGGGTGTTCAAACAGGACAGATTGCTTTGCGCGAGCATTTACAATAGTCCAGTTGTGTCTTGTGGCATTTATCTTACATTCAGAGCAGTAACATGAGTCTGTCAGTGTAACTAAAGGGGCCAGCCACACCCCTTCCTCTGCGAGTGCACCTCCACAAGTAGGCCAACGCCACAGAAAGTCCTTTTGATGCACACACCGCTGACACCTGATCTCTCTGTTAATGCCTCTGTCCCAGGAGCTGAATCAGGGTTTTGTCGAAACGACGGGTGAGGAGAGTGGGAATCTGAGCACGACACAGGAGCTGAGAGATCAGGTAACCGAGGGATGAACAGACCCGTCCGTCAAAGAGGGACAGCACCTGTGGCAGCAAACCGTTGTATGACAAAAAAGTTGCACCAGTGCTGACCCTACTGATCTTGATGCGATATCTAAATTCAGAGATATTTGTGTGCCTCAGAATTGCATTTGACAAGCAGACAAACATTCATTATGTAGTATTTTATACTGTGGTCTAAAGAGCTCTTATCGTCTTCCTGCAGAACGTGCAGCTGCAGCAAGAAAATGCTGAACTGATGCAGAAGCTGCAGAGCGTTCAAGATCAAACTGAAGTTGTCCAACAGGCCATCAAAGACCGAGATGAAGCTATTGCGAAGTAAGTAATGAGTTTATTTATCCAATTCAAGTGAGAAAGTTCAAGCTTTCCAGATTACATGTGTTATATTTATATTCAGTTATAACTGAAAAACACTAATTCCTAGTTCCCGAGCATGGCTCAGCCCTGAGTTTTAACTTGTTATGGGTGTTAAAATCCTTACTTTAAAGATCTTCGTGTGACTTCTTTGCAGGAAAAACCGAATGGAAGAAGAGCTGGTGAGAAGTAAAAACGATATGATGTCTCTCAACAACCAGTTACTGGAAGCCATCCAACGCAAACTGGAGCTATCACAGGAGCTGGAGGCCTGGCAGGTAAATCACTCACTTTTCTCTGTAGACCTCCAGTCTAATGATCTTTCTCGCATCACTTTGTCACACTGTCCTATCATCTCGTAGCCTATTTGCAAGGCCTTCTGCTTCAGCACTTTCTTATTACGTTTAATCACCTGCATCGCTGATGGGAAGGCCACATTTTCAGAGGCACTGCCTGCGTTTGAGATTGATGTATTAGTCTGAGATTCTAGAGTAGAAAGTCAGAGACAGGCGCCATCATAAATCTCCATGTCCTGACAGTTTGGAGGGATAAGAGCGGCATGTGTCTCTGAGCCCTTCTGCTGCTGAGTAATTATGCCAAGCTGAGCCATCTGCCTCAGTGTCTGAGCCTTCGTGCTCTGATGAAGATAATACAGATAATATTTAGAGCAAACCACTGATTCACTTCTTTAAATACTCTGTTTCTGAGCAACCACAAGATGTTCTTCTGTAAAAACATATAAATTATTAAAAAATAAAGTAATTTAAGATTAATATAAATGATTATTTAATACAAAAGTCATGCAAAGAAAAGGTTATTTACTCAAACGGAAGTCAGACCGTTTGAGTAAATAAAAGTGACCGGTCATAGGCATTGACCAGTCACTTTATTGGACCAATTTTGCCTTCAGAACTTTATAGATTTAATGAATCTGAACGCTGACAAGGAAGGTGTTTTATAACCTCTTTTTACTGTTATGAACAAATATGCCTAGAAGCACATTGACTCAATCCATCTCCCAATGGTTTGATTTCGAGACTGTGATCAATAGCTTTAAACCAGTATAGTTTTTCTTTTTCCTCCTCCTCCGGCTGCTGCTGCGACTCCTAAAAAGTACAGATCATCTGCCTCCGTCTCACCCTATCCGTAGCATCCTCCTCTGTCACACCACCCCTCTGCATGTCATCCTTTAGGGGTGGGGAAACTCCAGGCTTCAAGGGCCGGTGTCCTGCAGGTTTTAGATGTATCCTTGATCCAACACAGCTGATTTAAATGGCTAAATTATGTCCTCAACATGTCTTGAAGTTCTTCAGAGGCCTGGTAATAAACTAATCATTTGATTCAGGTATGTTGACCCAGGGTGATATCTAAAACCTGCAGCGCACCGGCCGCTGCTTTACCACATCAATGAATCTTCTCTGAGGTCTTCCTCTTTTCCTCCTGCCTGGCAGCTCCATTTTTTTAAAGAGTCAGTACTTTGTTGGTTTTCTCGTGGGACTTAATGATAACTAGTTTGCTTCTTTAATACTACGACTCTAGTACTAACATGTTATCTTTGCCAATCATGGGATACCAGACTGAGTCCCGGCTCCTAAGTCTTGCTGCTCAATTCCTCTTCCTCCCCACCTTTCCCCAGGATGACATCCAGATCTTCATCAACCAGCAGCTCAAGTCCCAGCAGCAGTTGGAGCAGCCTCAGAAGAAGCCCGCCTCCAACAACAGCATGTCATTCTTTCGCAGACCCAGCAGAACGGCTTCATCTTGGTCACGCCAGTCGTCGGCCTCTTCCTGGAATTCAGACTGCGATCAGGACAAAAACCAATCCCCGTGGAGGGACTGGTTAAGGCGGGGCAAAGGGGTGCAGTACAGCAAATAGTGAACACTAAGTGCTAGAACACTACTGGACTACTGTGGAGCAGATGCACCAAGAGAAAAGGTCAAAGGGAACTCACTAGTGGGGCTTCTTGTACATCATGTGAAGGAGAAAAAAAGCCATGAAGACTAAAGGAGCCACTCCAAACAAAGACTGAAACACATTTCACTGAGAGGCTGAGGCTTCTCAAGACGAAGACTGTGACAACATTTTTACAGAATTACAATTGAAGGTTTAACTGTAAATATCGCACCCTATTTTGTAAAATGGTGAATAAGTAGCTCAGTGGAAAGTATTTAAGATTTAACACATCAAAGAGAAGGATGCTCATAAAGTAAGTGATTAAACACTACATTTTTTGTTGTACTAAATTTGTCTTTATCATGTTGGATATAAGAAGTTATGTTTGTTTTTTTGGGGGGGGGGGGGTTTATTGTCAATGTTGCTAAATGTGTTTGAGAAACGCTGTACGTTTTCTTGTACATGAAGAAATCTGTTATTTTTATAATTTTGTTCTCATAGTTTCAGTTAAAAATCAAACATGTTGTCTGAACATGGACATGGTATGCGTCTGTGGACAGCAGAAACTCTATTTTATGTTAAGCACTGTTCAGTATTGAAGCTGCTTTGTACAAACTGACCAAGTCTGGAAGGACTGACAGAAAGTTTCATAAAACATTAAATGATCCTCAGTCAGGTCTCATTTTTCGCCACCCTCCATGATGAGTTTAAAAGTTATTTACTGAAGATATTCTGGCTTTAATAGGGGAGAAGATTCAAGATTGAAGACAATACACAAATATGGAGATGTGGTAATCTGTCAGGAATTAAAGGAGGCTACATTGAAAGAAATGAAAATGATCAACCTACAGAGAGCTGAAGTCAAATGTAGCAGCTTACAGTATGTCCAAGGATTTCATCCTGATACCTAATGGCAATCAGGGTACTGTTGCTTAGCCTATAGAGGTCTGTGTGTCCCTCCATTGATATGCCTCCCCAGATAATCACTGACCCACCACCAAACTGGTCATGGTTTCTTCAGTTTTCATGTCTGTCACATGTGCTCAGGGTGAACCTGCTCTCATCTGTGAAAAGCACAGGATACTGGTGATGGACCTGCCAATTCTGGTATTCTATGGCAAATGCTAATTGTTCTCCACAGTGCCAGGCAGTCAGCACAGGGCTCACTAGCAGGTGAGGGACCAGGTATCGCTTTATGCTACCAGTAGAGACAACAAACCTAGCCAGTAAAACCATTCCTGTGTTAGTGGTTGTCTCACTGTTGCCTCTCTAGTGCATATATTGGTCATTTTGTTAACACGAAAGCCACTAAAACTGATTAACAACCCACACTACTTCACTGATCAAATTAATATCCCAGAAGTTTAACTGACTTGATTAATATTCTCATGAAAGTGTTTAATTTTTTGAGCGGTTTGATAATCTGAAATGGGCTTCTAACAATATGTCTGCTGCTGCCCTCTGCTGATGGCCAGCAAACATTTCAGGCTTTAGTGGGAGGCAGATGTGTCATAGCTGACAGGATCTGACACACCGGACAAGCTGCAGCTGAGGTGCTAAAAAAATACGCAAATGTGGTTACAATTAACTCAGTCATGTTAAATAACTGCAAGTCAACCTTAAATCAGTCAACTGAGGTTTTATCAGATTTTTTAATATTTATCATTTGTGTTCAGAGTTGCATATGTTCACTGCCTTTAACACTGCTACTCAGAAGTGTTGATTTATTAAAGCCATGTAGTTTTGTAAATGTGAAAACCTACAGGGTATTCCAGGTGTCGAGAGATGGGTAAATTATCATCAGTGTTTGAGGTTCCTGAACTAAGTATAAAGCAAAACCAAACACGTGCAATAACAACTGCGTACTTCATTCAGAATTAATGGTAATAATTGTCTTATTAGAGTGGGTAGAAGACTTACACTAATACTGGATATTTAGGTTCATGTTGGGTTTGCTTGGATAGCAGCTCTGTGGGAATTTATGAAAATTAACTTGTGCGTAAATATGTAAAATGAGCTCTGAGATCAGACGTCATAAACAAATCCAAGTAATTTAGTAGGAAAAAAGTGGGAGAGTCAGTTAAATCACAAAGACAACTTCTACAAATGAGATAGACTCAAAGACTCAGTTTGTAGTTTTGTTCAGGTTGCATCTCCTTCTGTTCTGTCTAAATCTTTTTGCAGTCATTCTGCATCTTGTGACTGTTTGTGTGTTTATATTACACGTCTGTTGCTGTGTTGAACCTCACTTGCAATGATTTTATATATTTTGTTGTGCATTTTGCCTGTTTAATTGGTTCCTCTTGTCCCCCGTTTCCTCTCTTTTTTTGTAGAAGCGTCTTTCTGCTGCAGGGGTTTTGCCAGCCATAAATCACAACTTCATTTTATAATCTCAACATTTTGAAATACTTGACTTCCAGTGTTAATGATTGGTTCACACAACAAATCACACCTTTCAGCTTTTCATGTATTTTCAATATTTTTTTCATCCCCCCC